GGTCAAGAAAGCCTGCTATTCTAATGTATATATCTGACATGAAAATATTAATTTACTAAAATAATTAATTTAAAAAAAGTTAAAATACAAATTTTAAATTGAGATTGTAAAATACAAGCTCACCTGTATTATAATAAAGAAAGTGAATTTACATATAAATGTTTAATTATAGGTTATGATATTTGTAAGGCCATGTATCTTTCTAAGACTACTACAAAATCGGGGTGCTTATATTGTTAAATAAAGGGATGCATAGCTCACATTTCAATTTGTGTAATCCATTAGGGACATCTTTAGGCGGATGAAAGAGAGCTGAGATTTTGTGCAAAGAATAATCTGAATTTCAGGAGTGACGCTGCAGAAGGAAGGCGAGCTCAGAGAACGCCCAGCAAAGACAGAAGGTGGCGTTCTCAGGCAGAGAATGGAAATGGTGTAAAGGAAGAACTTGATTTACAACTATTCCAGGGTTCCCTTATTTGTGGACAGGTTTGTCTTATGGGTGTATTTGATTAGTTGCTATACTATAATTCACTGAACTCAATTTTTAAGATTGGCAGGGACTGCTGCTTTTGAAAAGTATAAATTTTTAGTTTCAGTTCGGTTTTCCACCATTTTTTTACAAGTTGTTTGTTTGTTTGTTTGTTTTGTTTTTGTTGTTGTTGTTGTTGTTTGTTTTGGTAGGCGTTGACAGTGAAGACATACTTTAGAGCCAAATTTAATTGAACAAACCTAAATGGGTAGGTGATATAATCTGTATAAGGTCTGGGGAAAAAGGACCAACTGGAAACAGACCTAATACGTTCTCTGCACACTGGTCAGGACAATATAAAGGACACAGGAAAGGTGGTTATTTCTGAAGAGAGAGATGCACTCCTGTTCACAATGGGTTAAATGTGTTCATTGCCAGTATAAGGCATGTTCATGTTGAGTGATGGCTAAGTAGTCCATGTTGACTGCACGGCCAACAGGTTCCATGTATCAGGCCAGGCTTAGCATATGAAACTGGCTCATAGTAGCTGAGTGCAGTTTTGTTGGATGAATGGGATCAGATTTTCTAAACCTTCACTGTTGCTTCACGTTGAGTCCAGTGAATAAGAATTTTACTCTACCGCTGTCAGGTACATGACATTCCACATGCTCTTTTGCCCAATTCTAATTAGATCAGATATTGAGTCCCTGCTCCTCAGAGTGCTATGAGTGTTATGTTTCAAACAGTGGGAAACTGAAAGCACCATCCCAACGCGAAATACATTATCTGTACAAACAAAAGGAATAATCCGTGCACGCTATAAGTTTATTAATTTTTTCTGGTAAACTTCTTAATATTATGTCACAGTTAAGAATGTGTCTGCTTTAGATATTCCCAGATATGATAGGAGGGGCAGGGACAGAAAGTAATTGCCTTAAGGAAGCTAACAGAAATCTTACTGATGCAGAAGCTAAGATTTGCTCCTATGCATGTCAGCCTTAGAGGAGGCATCGTTTCCGCATCCACCACCATGGGTGGAGCTTCCTACCCCTCAGCCATCCTCTTCCTGTCACTAGGGTTTTCTGGTCCCTCCTCCTCATGCTGTCACAGTCATCTCACTTCCTGTCTGTTCACCAAACTCATCACTGATGTATCTATGGATGTCCTCACTCACGGAACGCGTTAGTGTTTGCGATGATTTCTCATTGGGTCTGAGGACATAAACACAGCAGTAGAACAATCCCAATGTAGTTTAACAACCAGAGATGTTTTTAAGCAGGTATAAATAGTAACTGGCAGGCTTCTCCATGCTTACTTGGAAGTAGATCAATAAGCATGATTAAGATAAAACTTAAGATAGACAAGAATATGTTTGAGAATCCGTCATTTATTTTTCTCTAAGGTCATGTTGAGAGAAAAAAGAAAATACAAATAAAAGAAAAAGGAAAACATGAGGAAAGACAGAAAAAAGAAGGACAGAAGGAAGAAAAATCAAATCAGGAGTTGTATCAATTAAAAAACAGTTGCTTAAAGGACTGTGAAGCTTGAAAATAATAAAGAAAGGCTTTTCTGGAGTACTCTGCAGGTACAAGAATGACATAGTTATCACTCGGGAGGCAGAGGCAGGTGGATTTCTGTGAGTTTGAGGCCAGCCTGATCTACAAGAGCTAGTTCCAGAGCAGGCTTCAAAGCAACACAGAAAAACCCTCTTTCAAAAAAACCAAAAAAAAAAGAGACATAGTTAAGTTAGCCAGAAGCTAGATCCCCATCTATCCTTCATTTCCTTCCCTAAATACTAAGAGTGAAGGTACATTCTCATGGGTTTGCTGATTTCTCAAGGATTCAGGCCTTAATGAACTTCAGTTTCCTTCACTCCCTGAACAAAGCTGTTACAAAGCCAATGCAGGCAATAGAAGACAATCTGTCTTGTTGAAAAGAGTCTAACCCCTTATGGAGGATGGTGCATCTCTAGGTGGCTGTACCCTTTGCTTTGGCAACACAAGGAGAGTTCTGACCCTGAACCTCTTCAGATGAAGTCATGGTGAAGGTTTTCTCTTTAAATGGCCTTTCCAGTGATTTCTGTTTGTTACAGTGGTCCATTGGCACAGACAACAAATTCGTTTTTCAATGTTTTCTATTAGCAGCAAGCTCACAAAGTCATTTTGTTTGGAAAGTAAAAGCTACAAGACTTAAAAGCCTTGCTTTTAGATTTCAATTCACTCTAACAAGCAGCCATTGTTGACTGTCTATTCAATGCCACGTTCGGCACTGAGAGCCGGAACATGCCTATGAAAAGTGGGAGGCAGTTCCAAATTTTAGGATTAAGTTGCAAATTTCCGAGGAGGATATAAGTTTGCTGAAGATTACATAGCAGAGAGATTAAAAATAATAGCTCCTTATGTAACGATATTATGACCATTTTACCTCCAGCTCGTTGTCCTGAGGCAATTTGTCTGCCTGGCTAATTTCTGAGGTAATATTTGTAATAGCTAGCATCTACTAAACACAATTTGCTATAAACTGTTTTATCTTACAATGCTTACAACAGCTTTGCCATAGAGATTTTGTTATGAATTTTCTAAAGATGAAAAGACTGAAGACTTCAGAGACCTAAAAACTTCATCAAGTTTACACAACTAGTAAGGACAAAGTCTAGATTTCAAGGTCAAAGTTTCCTGTTAGGCCATCCCACATCCCTTGCCCTTTTACTTTCCTATTGTAGCTACTTAAATTTGCTACATATATTTATATTAATACTTATATAATAGCCCATATAGTCCAAACTCATACCTATTTTCATAACAAAATTTCAGAACAATATAAAATATTATGTAACAGATTTTTTTTCTAATGACTGAAAGCCAGAAACAATAAAGAACTGGCATCGTTATATAGCCCTATGAGACAGATTAACACTTAATTTATACCTTTATATATCAATCTCTATGATACAGACAGATCAATATTAGCTTAAAGTGTGTAATTGAGTTTTTTTTTAAGCATTGGAAAAATCCTCTTGTTATTGACCTGTTTCCAGAGATTTTGTTTGCTCGTGGCACATATGTCTTAATCTGTGATCTGAATCAGTTTCCTTTTGAGATCTTTCAGAATATTTGTCCATAGAAACAGTTTAAAAATATGTAGAAATATGTATTATAAATACATGAAAATATGTGGTAAAATGTATTATAACTTATAGAAACATAACAACATTAAGTCAAGGTACTGTATATTGCCTTTAGATTGAAAATATTTATCTAATAATTTTAAAAGGAACAACTGATTATACTAATCCCTCTAGAAAGGTAACTAATTTAAGAGATCTTTACATGATGATTTGTGAACATTTGTTTCTTGTTATTTATCATATTCTTTGGGTAAGCAAAAAGTTCTAACTATTTATACACTATTTGTAACTTCTAATATGTGGTTCAAACGCTGCAGCAAATTGCACATCTTTGTCTATTAGGAGCTAGAAGCACTCTCCCTCCAATAAGCACTGTATAATTGTTAATAGCATTGCTTCTTGATCATAACCATTTGCTTTCACCCTGAGTTTGTTTCATTTTCAGTCTCCTTCATAATAATGTACACCCCTTGCTGAATCAACAAGGGGCTTGCAGTTTTTGATAAGAAGAGTCCCTCAGAAATGAAATTGGGGGGATTCCAGGAGCGGTGATAACAGAGTGACTTACTCTAGAGAAAAAATTGTTAATACAGAAAAGACTCCAATTTCCCTTTAGTGCTCATTGTGATATAGAACACTAACAATGATCGTATATCAGCTAAAATACATTTTTGTAATAATGAAAAATGTTGATTTTTAGGCCACGTGATGTTAAAGTACCCTGTCTTTAAAGAACTTGAAGTTAGCAATTCAGTCAAAGCAAGAGTGACTGATACAGTGTTCCCCGGTTGACTCTGTGGGATAGGAATGCTTGCGAGTTGTGTTGTGCCAACCATAATCAGTCATACTATGGCAGTCTACCTTTCTTTCCTGTTTATTCTTGTGCTCACACTCCAAGGACTTTGAGTTCAGGAAGATCAGTAACAGCTACATTTCCAATGTGATAAATTTACTACTAAACAGCCGTATAACCATTACATTTGTGTCTACAAGGAATGCAGACTAATTCTATTTTTGTAGGCTTGTCAATTTGTATTTCCATCTGTAGATTGACTGAGGGTTCTATGTCACATAGCTATAGTGTAACAATGAATAATACTTGTATTTCTTTAACTAAATCCACACCTCAGGTTTAAGGAATGTCTCCTAAAACAAAATTTATTATTTTATTTTAAGAATATTTACAACTTTTAAAAATAAATAATACTTGTATTCAAATGAAATTCTAGCACTTTGTGATAGTCTATTATTAATCCAATGAGTATGAATATCATGTGGAAATTAATATATTAGTTGCTGAAATTTATAGTTAAATAACAAATTTTTATTTAAATGACTATACACACAACCCGTCAAGTTGATTTCATTCTTTCTTAACACAGACATTTGTTTGTGCTTTTTCAGTCTATCCGAGAAGTCACAGGCTACGTCCTGGTGGCCCTCAACCAGTTTCGATATCTTCCTCTGGAGAATTTACGCATAATTCGTGGAACAAAGCTGTATGAAGATCGCTACGCCTTAGCGATATTCCTAAACTACAGAAAAGATGGCAACTTTGGACTTCAAGAACTTGGATTGAAGAACCTGACCGGTAAGAAAAATTTGAAAACTAGTGCATAACGTGATATATTGCACATATGAGCATACGCATGGTTTCTGGCGTTCAGGTGTGGAAGTGTCTGGAACTCCTAAGTGAGTGGTATGCACTCATTTCATGAGAAATGATGCCTCTCTGGTACTCTCACCTTTATTTGCAGATGTAAGTGCCGGGTGGAAGATAGCAGAATGTTGTATCTCAGCTGAACAGAAATATGCACTCTCAGAAAAGCTCAGCCAACTGCAAACAGAGATAGGAAACAGGCATAGGAATGCTGTTTGGTGGTCGCAGGTGAATGGTGGCCCAGATCATCAAACCTCTGCGATAAGAACACAGTGCTGGAGCCTGTCAGAGCTTAGCGATGCCCAAGCTATTACATCTAGTTCAATTAATCTTTAGATTTTTTTTTTTCTTTTTAGAGGATCACCGAGTTTAGGGAAAGTCTAATGTAATCGGTTCCAATTTCTCCCGTTTAGTAGTTCACTGAACGCCATCACTAATTCTCGGCGTACTTTGGGACCATCCATGAGAGTTTCTTAGCTTTGCAACAACAGGAAACTAACAAACTAGAATTACCATCTAGATTATAAACTTTGCAGTGATTCTTTTTTAGTTCATGCTTGTTAAAGCTCATATAAACTCAGATGGAATACTTTTTTAAATAATCAAGAATTTTACCAAATATATCTAATGTGTCCCAATAGAACATTCAAACCTACCAGTAGCTCACATTATTAAGTTACTTAAAATTATTAACATATATGCATGTATCATATCAAATATATAGTGAGTTATGTTGATGATTATGTTTATTTTGGGTCCACTCAGTGAAGTTTGTGCACCCTGAAAAATTAAACACTTTGAGGGAGTTTGCCATAAATATGTTTAACAATGGTAACTTATTGAGACAGCTTTCTGATATGTACAGTATATGAAGTAGGATACAGGCCTAAAGATGGAAATTTAATTTTCACAAAAATGCAGATATGCGACATCAAATTGGGAAATTTGGGGAACAGAAATGAATAATGATAATGTCAGTTTTTAGGGTAGAGTTACTTTAGAGTTAATGGAATTATAATAAATGCTTAGTGTTGAAAATGTATTGGTTCCTATACAAACATTACTACTTCAGTTTTCTTTTTTTCAGGATAATTTTCCTACTGAATAATAGCTTTTTTTTTTAATAAATTGCCACTTACATATAAGTAATACCAGGAGGATGAATTTTGAAAATAAGATGGTTAAGGGAAAAAAGCTGACTGCTAGAATTAGAGACCTAAAAATTAGATAATACAAGTAAAACTTACAAACTTACACAGGAATCATTGTGTGCCTTTCATGAATTTTCTATGATTATGCTAGGAATAAAAGGAGGAAATTCTTTTATTTTCAGAAATAAAAATTTTCAGAAATTTTTATAATATTAGAATCCTCTTGAATTATGTTTTCTATATATGAAAAAGTCATTAAAAATTTCTCATATTCATTTCTGATAACATCATGACTTCTAAAATAATAGCCAAAGGTTTTGAAGTAAAATTATGTCACATTCAAATATGTTCTAGCCACTCGGTTCATTGCATATATTAATTATGATTATGACAGTTGAATGATATTTTATGTTATGCTAAAATATAACTATCATTCAAAAGTAATCTTTAACTTATATAGTGCTATGGCATTTCTGGACATTTGTAGAAATGAAAAATTTATCCATTTATTTATTTTTGTTTAATTGTTTTTATGGTGCAATATATTTTTCTCTGCTCCCTCCTTCTTTTATCCTCGCCGATGATCCTCACACTCCCAATTTACTCAGGAGATCTTGTCTTCTCTTACTTGAGATGAATAATTTATTAAACCTAAGAGATGGTTCCTTAGAAAATCTGTGTTCATAAAAGATATTACTACTTTCCTTTTAGCACATGACTCAAAGAGCTATGTAATAAGAAAAATTGTGAAAATTCTGTGCATTGTGGACTTTTTCAGATATTTGATTTGTCCAGAGGCTGACAGTCAAAATATATCTGTAAGCATCTAGAATGCTTGAACCTTAGGTCACATGATTGGTGTGATAACTGCAATTTTGTTATGAACTGCACAATAAACACGTTTTAATTGTGTATGATAATGTGTGAGGAATGCCTGAAGACATCTATGCATATGAAGAGTAGTGTGGGGAAAGTATTTAGTCTATTTTGGAGAGCTAAATAGTCTGGGGATCTTTTAAAATAAGGAGTAAATATTGCAATTCCATCTCAATAAGATTGGGTTTATGCTTTGGAAAAATATTATGTTCATATTGCTGTTTTATTGTTCTACAAAAGAAGTTGATAATTTAAAAAAGTATATCACACACAGAGCTATGAGCTTTGTTCTAATTATAATCTAATAAAAATAAGAATGCTTATTTAAACATTTAAGTGTATTAGCCTATCAATGTGTATTTGACATAACAATGGTGCTTTGGGCGTTTTCACTGCAAATCATATACTGCACCTGAGGTGTGCTGAATGGCAGTTTTGGGGGAGGATTAATATATGTGTCTAAAGACCTTCACGTGATTCTGATTACTGAGGCTTTGGACTTCCTTTTTCAGATGATTTAAAGCAATGTTACCAAAGAGCAATAGCACAATATCTCTTTAACCTTTTCACTCATGTTTGGATAAAGTAATTTTCATTCATCTATCATATTATAAAAAGAATAGAAGGAGTGAGATAGAAACAGATATTCTTTTCATTGCACACCAATAATTATAGTCTAGGTTGGCTTCGGAATATAAAAAGCATTGTGGAATCCTGGATACAAATGTGGATAAATTATGTGTCAGGGCCAGAGATGAATCGCAGATGGTAGAATGCCTGCCTTTATATTCAAGAAGTTCTGGCTTTAGCCATCTCCTCTTTATAAAGCTAGGCATATTGACGTACTTCCTTAAGGCCACACCCAGGAGACTAGCGAAGAGTATTGGAAGTTCAACTTTATTCTAAAGTATATAGAAAGTTAGTAGCCAGCCTGGAATACCAGAGTCTATATCTATAAAAAAAATAGTTTCTAGAGATGAAGATGGTATGATAAATATCCTGTATCATTTTGTCTGGAAACAATTTACTACCTAGTAAATATTTTTAAAGACTATGATAATTCATACGGAATATTCTTAACCACCAGTTTTTTTAAGCATTTGTAAGAAAAAATAGCATAAGTATTTTGCAGGTTAAAAAGGAGTTGTATGGCACAGCAAAGAATTTGGGTACTTTAAGTCTTGGCATTGGGAAGATGGTTAGTCTGTGACATGCTTGCTGTATGAGGACCAGTTATTAGTCTCCAGAATCCATGTAAATTTCAGGGAGTGGAGATACATGCCTATCATCTCCATACTGGGGAGGTAAAAAGACAAGTAGATCCCTGAGTTCACTTACGCAATAGTCTAACTGAATTGGATAGCCGCAAGTCTATGAGGCACATTGTGTCAAAGTAAAGGTCTATGGACCTCTGGTGGAATGACACTTGACGGTGGCCTCTTAACCTCTGTACAGTATACTCATACATAGAAACATGTACATACATAAAATTTAAAGACTTTTTATATGTTTATTGTATTATTTCTTATCACATAATATTTACTCTGTTGACTTTAGAAAAGAATGCCTTGAAAAAAAGCACATTCTCTTCTTGTGTAAAGTAGATGTTTGGATACATGAGTACCATCATTATGTTTGCTAGTGATTAGCTGTTGTCTGAGTGTATAAATTAACTGTCCTTTTAAGCACTGTTAAACTTGATGTTCACTGAAAGCTGTTTCATGGGTCTGATATATTGCTGATGTATAGAAAGGGAATCTCAATGAGGAAATCTCTGACTTGGATTAGCCTGTAGGAATGGCTGGGACCATTCTTCTCAGTTGTGTTAGTTTCGATGGGAAAACCCACCTTTATAGAGTGGGATGAGCCCTTGACTGAATATAAATTCAGAAAACATGCTGATTAGTATTAGCACATGGACATTAGTTCAGTGTTATCTGAACTTGACTTTGGATTTAGTGTGGTCAGTTCTCTTGATCTCCTGCTATTGTGATTTCCCTACTAGGATGGATTATAACCTCCCGTTTAAAGCTCAAATAAGCTCTGCCCCTCAAGCTGTTTTCATGAGGGTATTATATAGCATCGGAAAACAAAACAAAGCCAACAGGCTGAAGACTTTATTACCTACTTTGACACAATCAATTATATTATGTCAAAACATGAAAAATACTGAAACTGTAGCACCTCCCACCATGGGTAAACAGAAAAATATGTTTAACAGCGCCAATCATATTTCTGTGGTTGATTATTACTGAGACAACAAGAGTGTAGAAAAGGAGATTTTTAGGCAAGGGTAGACTACGTACATCCCAGCATCCTCTGGATGTCCTGTTAACACAGCAGGTTTTTTTCTGCCTAGAGGAAAGACATGGTTTGACCAGGGGACAGAGCACCAATGATTGGGTCTATGTCACTAGAAGTCTTTCAGAATGTCACTTCTATGCAGTAAGCAGGCTGTTCATTCGTTACCCAGCTGCCCAGACTCCCAAAATAACCACACAGAAACTGTATTAATTACATCACTCCTTGGCCAGTTAATTAAGCATATTGCTAGATGGCTCTTACATCTATAATTAGCCCATCTCCTTTATTTTATATTTTATCACGAGGCTCACGGTCTACCGGCAAGGTTCAACATGTCTGTTTCTGGTGGCAGTTTCATAGCTTTTCCTCACTCTGCCTCCTTTCTCCCAGCATTCAGTTTAGATTTCCCTGTCTAGCTCTGTTCTACCCTATTGGGCCAAGCAGTTCCTTTACTAACCAATGGTATTAACAGCACACAGAGGGGAATTCCACATCACTTCTACCTCTGAGGACTACGAACTAGCATCTAAAAAGAGATTAAACTTATGACACATAATAATCATAGAACTTTCTATTATAAATTCTTTCTATATGTTATTAGAATGGATAATTTAACCTAATATATATGTAAAAGTTTGCATAAGATTGAATCATTGAATAATACCCAAGTTATATATATATATATATATATATATATATTCTCTTTATGCAATTCTCTTTCATAATTGATAGTCACAAAAGAATTAGGTGCAAATAAAAAACATGTATGGGGATGTCTATTGTACTAAATTTCATTTTAAGTTATTTAATTAATCTTTATTTTATAAATTGTGAGAATATATTTTTGATTAGATGAAATGAATAGGTGAAATTGAGGATAATATATAGGTACATGTTTTGATTAAGATCTTCAAGTATTTTCAAAGTGGTTGCATAAGGTTGCATTTCCACCAGTAATGGATGTGTGTTCCCCTTGCTTCACAACCTCTCCAGCATAAGCTATCATTAGTATTTTTGATCTTAGCCATTCTGACAGATGTAA